AGTGGACGTGTAGTGAATTGGGATCGATTTGTTTGAGGGAATAACCGTGACAAGCCATTAGTGAGTATTACCTGTGAATAAGTTCGTTTGAGTGTATCAAATAAACCAGCAGTAAATCGTGTTGTTTTAAGTTCGCTCGGTGTGAAGGTGTGTCGTTAATAAATTACCGATATTGTCAGCTTTAAATGCTATACTGTAATACTGTACCATTCGTTGTCGCGTTTGTGTTGTTTTCATGTGAAATTGATTATGTGTTATTTTTGGTTGATTGGTCGCGATTTCCTTTTTCAGTTTGCATTTCGTTAATATTCAAATATCCCAATTCACATTCGTGTAATGATTCAAAATTTATTGCGATGCAGTTTAAGTCACATTGTACCGTTGTCTACCGCATTTACCCGGCGAATATCAAAAAATCCATAATGAAATGATGCGTCTTCCTCATGAATGCCCTTCTACGTGCCTAATCATCATGTTTTCTTTTATCACAATTATCATCTGTCACTTTATCAGTGAAAGTTAAGAATGATCGATTTTCTCTTTTATGCATTCGTGTAATGTCAATTGGAATTTGATGAGATCATTCATTGCGAATGTGTCAATTGTCAAACAACTTATCCTTCGTGGTAATGTTAACCTTTGCTCGCTATGAATTGAATATTTTCATCGTTTCGAACGTCCTCAAGCAAGATCGGCAATTTTATCGAACAATCGTCGATCAAGATAATGCTGGTAACATTCATTCATTTTCATCATAATAATTTATTTGTGTTTTGCATTCCAACCTATTCAATCAATTCAGTTACGAAGTTGATATTGTTTGAGTTATTGCTAGTATTGATATGGCCACGTTAAAATAAGTCAACACTTTAGTGGTATCGTTCTTTGTGTATGTGTGTTAATTAGTTGATGTGATCACTTCATAAATCTTATTTCTTGCTTTGATTTGATGCTTTGTAAAATGAACATGGTTATTCATGCACTATGGAAGCAATCATCACAGGCACAAACTCAAAGTTTAAATGGGCCAAAGACACCTTTTGTGGACAACGAACGTTGTGTAGAGTGAAGAACNTGCATTCCCTTATTGTCGAGAATGTGCACTGATGGTACATGTACTCCCGAATGCAACACGACATGCGTCTGTTTTCATTGAATTCATCGCGTCTCTGCCTTACTTCACGTTGCCTCGTTTCTTCTCGCCCATTCATACGTCGTCATTTCATCAAAAATGTGATTTGCAACATACGATGCTTCAGTTGCAAGCATCTGGCCCAGCCATCATTTGAATCAAGAAATGCTCCATCAATATTGTAGACAGTGTCAGGCAGATGAAATCCACAAGCTTCATTCGTACTATCAAGAAACAAACCGCACCATTCGAGATGGATCAAATTTTCGGGTGTTTGTATATTCATTACTGCCATGATCCGATACGTTCACTACGATATAAAGTGTGTAGTTGATAGAAGATGAATGACTGCATGATTACTCTTTAGATAAATTGTTTATTTTTATCCATCATGAATGAATGAGCTTTCCATATTTCGTATGTACATAAGCACCTTCAAACTTTGAAAAGTGATTATCGAAGTGAATTTATTAATTTCTACCCTTCTCCGTTGTATTTTGTTACCTTCTCTGCTTTTTTCTTTTAATTCGAAAAATTCTCACAGTGCTCTGATAGATGCAGTGTTTTTTAATGGAAGTGGAGAAAAAGATGGAACATGAGAGCGCTCTATATTGAATTTATGCTTCGAAAAACTGCCTGACCTCTGAGCTCTGGACTGAAGAAATTTACATTTTCAGTAAGGAAACATTAATAGAACATTAGTGAAAAAAGAAAAACTTCTGAAAAGCATCGTTACCCGGGAATGTGTTTGCTTGATGTGAAGAAGGTGAGCGAAGAAAATATGTGCTTACCTTGAACATCACGGACATTTGCTGACAAAAGCGTTTTTGTGGTGATACAATCAATCAAACAAAATCGCACAAAAAAGACCAAACTCAACAACTGAATGTGGCAAAATACTCAGCGGTCGGCATCAACCACACTTCATCAATCGTCTCAGTTCACAATGTAGATGTTCAGTGCACAAGAACTTACCTATATAATTCATTCGATCGCACGCGTGCTTGGCGAATAGGCTCCGCATTGTAGAGTAAAGTTAAGTATGGAAACAGCTGAAGGTTGTGTGTTGCTATGCGCTTTAATGATGCTTGATGTTTGTTATTTTTACTTTAAATAATATGTGGACTTTCCAATAAATTTCATTCATACTTCATTTGGTTGCTGGGTGTTTTATGTTTTTTTTTAATGATTGCTGCGTCAAGGTTTATCACCACTGGCGCAATTTCATGCGGATGATTTGCGAGCATCAATCGAAAATGACTCTCATTTGTTCTGCCAATCATTTGACGACACTTCATATTTGTCTCAATTTTCGGGACAAGGAATTTAAGTGTGCTTTAAGTGAAGTTTCTGAACTGATGTATTAAATATTATCTTACCGTAATGGATTTTCATTGATTTTTGCATTCTCTTATGATTGATGATGTTTCGTTGTAGATGATATTTCATTGCACTAACAGTAAGATTTCTTAGTGACGAATTCGTCTTTCAGTCGTTCGACAGAAGATGACAAACGATGGAGGCACTCATCACACAGGCCATAATAATAACCAAGAAAACAGTATGGCTGCTCTCGATCAGTATATAGCTCCAGGTCTTCGGCTTTGGATGCTTATTGCTCTTGTTTCGGGTGTTTTGCTTGTTATGGGTGAGTTCATTGTTTGTTGCATTCATAGATCCCATTGTTATATTCGTTGATGTTCAGTTGTTTGATTACGTTGAACACTGATTGTTCACATTTTGGCGGCGGTTTTAACTTCCAATTGGTTGTGATACTAATTCCGATCCAACTTGTTTCACTTGTAAGTATTTATAAATTTTGTCGATGACTGTTCTGCTCTTTTTTGAGACAGTTTTGTGGGTGTCAATTTTTCAAGATCTAACTTACCTGTGTAACATTAACTTCATTTGTGTAACAATAACTTCAACAATAAGTTCATTTCATTAATCAATTTTCAAAACGTTGACTATCTGATTAAAGAATTGAGTCCCATGTGAATAATATGCTAATTGCAAGAAAGTGATACTTTCAGTTGTTTTGGTATGTTGTTTTATGCGAATTCGAATTCCACGTACTAAGAGACAAATTGATTTAATTGCGGCGAGAAGGAAAATGCGTAAGCAGTCTTCATTACCCGCACATACACATCCACCAGGTTTGTGCACCCGAAAAGATTTTATTCTTACTCTGATACGTTTACTTCGAAGCGAATCACCTGGATGGCTACCGTGATTATCGACAAATTAGCACTAATTGAACTTGAAATATATTCATCGTTCTTGAAGTGCTCGTTTACTGTGTTGCTCATAAGAGTAGGTGACATTAGTATCACTAGGATATTTGCAATGGAAGTGAAAATAACAACATTAAATGAACGATTTACAGATGAACGATCGCAAACAATCGTAATGAACACCATTAAAAAATCGTCCAGGGAAGATCGGATGAAACAGGCTGAAACTCAGCCACTTGTCCACAAATCATCGCATACAACAACCACTGTTTAATAAGGCTGGCATGGGGACTGATTTTCTCTCTGTGTGTCCGAAACGATACACGATTCTCGACTAATATCTCCTTGTCCATCGTCCCTGTGCCAACCGTACTGCTTAATACTTATATTCACCTCTTATCACATACTTACAAATACACACGTATGTTTTCTTTGTAATTTCACTAAAGTGCCTCACATTTCATTGTTTTAGTGAATTTTAAAATTGATCCCATCAAAATAATTCTGCCACCAAAAGTGAAGCGCTCTAATGAAATGTTTCGAAGGAATGTTTAAAGGATAAATGACTATAAAAATGATAGCATTTGAATAAATGATCAAATGCCTTTTTGTTATAGTGATTCACACCGTTTTCTTTTGTTATGCTTTACTCTGTTGATTTTATGATGTTCCATTTGAGAATTCTTGTTTTTGAGGTTTGTAATAATTTGAAAGTGTGACATATTGTTTTCGCACTCAATTGTCTAGTCAATAATTTATGCGCTGAATGTTATTATCAGTCACACGACGTTTATTGTTTTCGTTTGAAGCTGTTTTTGTTAATTTTTGACTTTGTCGTTCAGTTGTTCGTTTACTTCAAATCCATTCATCATGTTCATTACAATTTTATTGTTTGAATGCAATTCAATACTGTTCAACAAATTGATTATTCTAAACTTTTCAGGTAATCCGAATTTATGTCTGACAA